CTTCAACCATCACATTCAGTTTTGATTGATTAGTTTCATTGTGCACAGGCTCCTTGATTCCAAAATTCTGCTTATTCGTATCTAAATCTTGACTCCAAGGCATGTAGCATTGTTTAACGTCATTTGGAAAATACTCGCGATTAATTAACACTCGATCGTTATCCGTCGGATTTACAGGCTGGCAATAATCATTAGCAGCAGGCAATAAACCTGGCATCACATTGGCGTTTGACTGATAGAATGCGGTTAGATTATTTCGCTGCTGGCCAGGTTCTCTTTGTACATAAAACTCGCCATTCGGCTGCAGATAATCGTTGTCCGCGTTATTAGAGAAGAACGTCCAGCTGGCTGTCGCGGGCCCGGCTACATTTTGATCGGAGTACACGTAATAATTTTTGTCATCTGGACCTGAATAAGAACCGTCCCAAGTAGCCATGATTCTCGCAACCTTACGTGCACGCGTTTGACTAGTTTCCAACAGATAAGTCTCTTCCAACGAAGACACGATTACAAAACTTTGCGCAACGCGTTGCCACGTACACGAGTTTAACGCCGAAATTAAAACTACTATTTATCGAAGAACCTGCTGGTTTTTCTTATTCCAGTAGCAGGTCTTTCAGCCGTAGAAAATCGTCGATTGTTTCGTGGTTTTGAATTTAAAATTCCGAACGACTCACGAACCGTAGCAGAAAGTAATTGAATATCCAGATGCTGTCGGTGATAATTAATTAAAAATACGTAAAAGGTGCGACGATTCTCTTCCTTGCGACGATGAGTTATCGAACACGAATCAGATAAATGTCTATCTACGATCTACGAGAATTTAATATCGCCATCTAGCATTGGAATCGGGATAGAGAAATGAATCGACAGGTGGTACTATGGGTGGTACGGTGGTACATTCAAGTGTGTGAAGAGAGGAATAGATGAAAATAGAACAGGGTAGAGTTTTTATAATGTTTTTGAGGAATTATTTACGGGCATGAATATAAGAATAACGGGGGAATATAAATACTATCTCTATGGTATAAAGTCCTGTTCTAGGCAAGAGAGGGAGGTGGTTACCTATTGTACACTTAACACAACAAATAAGTTTAATATTCAAGTAAAATTACTCATCGAACATTTTATTATTTATATCTTTAGAACAGGGCAACGTAAATTTTTTTTTAATTACTTAATTAATTAATTAATAACAAATCCAACATCGTACATTCCCTCTATCTTACATTAATAATTCAAACTGTAAATTAAATATTAAATTAAATTATGGCACACTGCACAATACGGTAAATCACAGATGAAAGTAATCTTAGTATTATAAAGTGGGCACATGGAATGCGTGTATCCAGCTTTAACGTTATAGTATGTATAAAAATTAGTTTATCTCTCAATTGCGTTATTTTACGAAAGTACAAAAATATAATCTTAATACTGTTATTATTATCTATACTGTGTTAATGGAACGAATAGAATACTCATGTAATAGGACCTAACAATACTGTCGGTTATTATTTATGGAAGACAGTCTCTCTGAACAATTATTCCATGTGCTTCTCGAAGGTTTTGTAAACTTCAGCACATTGTGCAGAATACATGCTTCGTCTCCATTGCGATAGGAAATATTATGCCCCTTCGATTCGCCAAGAAGCGTAACAGGAATAAAAGATAGCAATGCAAATTCCAGATCGAATTGTTCAGCTGTTGATTAGATTTCTCTTTGATAAATTAATTACGATATTTCCGTCAATTATTGTTTAAGGAATCTCCCTAAATGATTCCTCCATGTGAGTCTTAAAGGTTTTATCAATTTCAGCACATTGTATGGAATGTATGCTTCATCTTCATTACTGCGGAAAATGTTTTAAAAAATATTCGATTCACCAAGAAGCGGAACAGGAAGGAAAAATTGCACTGCAAATTCCAGAACAAATTATTTCGATATGCATTAGACTTCTCTTTGAAAAATTAATTACGATTCCTCTGTGCGTCTTCCAAGTTTTTTACTTTGTTCTCCAAATCTTTTATCTGTCGCTTTCGTGAACGACACAAGTCTTTCACCAGCACGTACTCTTTCTCCAGTTTCATTAAATTTCCTTGATTCTGTGTGCACAATTATGTTATATTATCCTTTTGAAATAAGACTGCAGTGCAAGATTGCAAATAATCGATTAGATCTTTACTTCTAATGAATACCATTTAAGAATTAAAGTTCAATCGTCGAGATATCTTATAATTACGAATTGACATTTAATTACTAGTTCAAATTTGACTAACTATGAAATAAAATATAATCGTTACTTCAGATTTCTTGTAATTAAGAATTCAAAAGTCATTAAATGAGATTTCTTTTAAATAAGAATTTAAATTTAATTTTTAATTCTTCATTTGACAAATTTGAATTAAAGATTAAATATCAATTCTTCATTAGGAAGAATCTTAAAACTTGCTGTCTACTAATTAATACTCGAATTATAAATTAAAATTTAATCGTTAATCATTAATGTGGCAATTAAAGCATTGCTCTTACTTACCCCAATTATTCTGTTATGTGTATTAAAACCTTCTAATTCGTCATCATAAGTTTGACACGCTTGCTCCTTTTTGTTTAGTCTCCATCGTCTGCACCTCTCACAATCATAACTACTTAAATCCATTATTATCCTGTGAAGTTTCCCCACCTCCGTACGAAGTTCGTCATTCTACAAACGTGATCAATCATCAATTTAGTAATTAATATCAAATCTGAAATAGAGAAAGTTTATATGATACCTTTTTACGTGATGCACGCATTTCTTCCTCTAGTCCCTTACACTTCTCCTGATAAGTAAAGTTCTCGCTTTGAATTTGTCGCTCCAACGCCGCAATTTGCCCATTCTTCGAGACGAGTTCCATTTCTAGCTCTTGAATCTTATTCCTCAAAATCTGGCACGTCTCTTCGTCATCAACATCCGTGCCAATCGTCACACTTTCCAAATCTCTTTTTTGATTAAACACCTCGTTCCTGCTACGCTTCCTCCTTTTATTCTCGAATGGATTAATGGATTTCAAACTGCTGCTACAGCTTTGTGACCTCAGCTTGCTCTCATAATCGCTAAGCTTCTTCTGCAATTCCGAACACTCTTTCTTTAATCTACAAAGGACAGTTTCATTATGGAACTTCGTTATCTCCATTTCTTCCCTATCGCCTTGCGACTTCGTTTCAAACGCCTTCACTTGTTCATCCAGAGTTTTATTCTCTGTTTTGAGGTCCACCAATTTTTCTTTCAATTCGTTCACCACTTGATGAGTATTCAACTCGGTCTTTAACTGTAAAATCTCCGAGTCGCGTTCGTGTATAATAGCACTCCATTCTTTTAACTGATTATCAAACTCGGATTTTTTCGCAGTCAGTTCCCTGATTTGTGTCACGAATTCCATGATTTCTTTGTCTCTTTGAGTTAACAATAATTTGTTGCCTTCTAATTCTAGCGCGATCTTGTTCTTTTCTTGAATGAGTGCATCGTATTTGCTATTTTCGAGAGATAAATGTACTGAATTTTTTTCGGATCTGTGCAAGGACAACGTTTTTTTTATTTCAGCATTCTCTTGGCACAACGACTCGTAGTGGGCTTTCAAATTAACCATTTCCTTTAAAATTTTATTTTTACTTTCCTGCAGTTCGGATATGCGATTACTGGCGCCATCCAAATTATTCTGTAATCTTTTATTCACGTCCTTCAGTTCTTCCAACGCTGCTTCGGCTTTCAGTTTATTCATACTATTCCTGATTTTTCTTTCCAGCTTCATATTAGTTTCTCTCAATTTTTCATAGTTATCTTTCAAGTTATTCAACTCTTCCTTTAAAGCGATATTTTTGTTGTTCGATTCGCTCAATAGCCTGGCCAGACCGGTGCACTTTATGTTTTCAGAATTCAGTTCATCCTTAATCGTCTCAATTTCCTTGTTCTTTTCCATATTCAACTTCGCTATTTCTTCCTTATATCGTTCTATAGCTTCTTTTTTTTCTTTAGCTTGGTTCTGTAGCATTTCATAGTCTGGCATTATGATTTCGAGTTTAACTTTGTACTCGGATAACATGTCACATTTATTCTTGAGTACCTTTGTAATATTTGCGATCTTAGATTTGTTCTGTTTCAATTCGTTAGTCAGTTCATTGGAAGCTTTTGTGAGCTGATCAAAATCACGACTCACTTTATCTATGGTTTGATTATGCATTTTCAAGTCTGAGGCGTTTGCTTCTATGATATTCTTCAATTGTTTCTCGTTAGCTTCGAGACCTTCGATGTTACTTTTCAGTTCCATATTCATCGTCTTGTACTTCTCAATCGTGTTAACCAACTCGTCTACTTTTTTTTCAAACGCCTCCTTCTCATCTTTTATCCTCGACTGAAGTTCATCTTCTTTGTATTTGAAAGCTTTGTGTATCTCTTTTTCCCGTTTGTGCGCATCTTCGATTTCATCCTCCTGTCGAACCTCCACCTTGCACTGTTTTTCTAAGTCGCTTTGCATGTTGCCAATTTCAAGTTCCAACGCTTGCACCTTGGTTTTAAGCACGTTTCTCTCGTTATTGCTTTCCCTGAGAAGACGATCCAATTCAATTACTTTGCTCTTCTGTTCTTTGTACAAGAACTCCTTCTCTAGTAAGTTCGTTCGCAAATTATCATTGTCAGTTTCTAGTTCCCTGATCCACGACGTTGCACGCCTTTCAACATCGCTGCTTTGCTGTTTCTCGTCCTCTAATTTTTGCTTATCCTTCTCAAACGATTCCAGCATCCTTTCGACTACATCCTTCTCTTTCAACATGATTGTATGTATTAAAATCTTAAACATTTCGCTCACGGTCTTACTTAAAACATCCTCGGTATTTAGGTTGCAGTCGAACGACTTTAATTCGTCGATAATATATTTTTTGACGATGTTCAACTCTTCCTTTGTTTCGTTAATTTTCTCTCTGCTATAGACATATTCTTCTGTGGCACTACGTTTCTTAACTTCGTACGTTAAATCGTTCCCTTCGACGTATTCATTTGATTTAATTTCCGATTCTGTGGTATATTCATTGAACTGGTTCGCGGATGCTTCGGATTCACTTATACACTCTACGTCTTTGGATTTATTTAGTTGAATCTCAAGTTCTTTCAAATTATTCTTCAACATATCTTTTTCATTTTCCAGCTCAGAAATTTTTTCTTGAAGTTCTTCTACGCTCGATACTAAATCTTTGGTTCGTAACATTGTACGTTCTTCTAGTTCTGTCTTCACTTGTTCTAACTCGTCGCATTGCCTCTTCAGTAATTGTAAATCATTTTTATATTTGTTTTCGATTGTTTCGATTGAAACGGCGAAGTCCTTTGTCAACGACGAAGCACGTTCGTTCAGTTCGTTGATTGTTCGATACAATTCGTCGATATGATTATCTGTAGTCTCTTTCTCAGCGCTTAAATATTCCAACTTCACGTCCAGTTTCACTCTTTCAACTTGCATCGCGTTCTTCTCCGCCGAAAGTTCCTCCAATTCCGTGTTCATATTCGACAACTCGTTCTCAAGTATTTTCACTCTCTCTGTAGCCGCGGCTAGCGATATCTCCTTTTCCGACACGTTTTCTTGCAATTCCTCATTAACGCCTTTCAAAGTGTCGATTTTCTTCAATAAATTGACCTTCTCTGCCTTGAATTTAGCAATCTTCTTCTTCATTTCAGCTATCTCTTCTTTCGCTTCGTTGATACTTCGCTGCGCCTCGTCGATCTTCGTTTCAATTACAGACGCTTGTTTCTTCGATGGTTTCTGATCATCTACATTCTTCGTATCACAAAGCTTCGTAAACTCATCGCACTTCTCTTCATACCGCTCCCTCACAGTTTGTAACTCGTTGTTCAGCTGCTGCACTTTTTCCTCTACGAAACTAAGGTTGAACGTATCCACGAAACTGGCATTAAAAGACGCGTCGAAGCTTATATTCAGTTCCTGATTCTTCAACGCTTCAATGTGCGCGCGTTCACGATCGAACTTCTTCTGCAGATGATCCAGCTTGTGATTCAACTCTTTCATTTCGAGCGCTACCGGTTTGCGACTCTCGTTCAGTTTCTTGAAACACGCGCACTGCTTGCACGGTGATGATTTCAATTCGCTTAATCGCTCGTTCAAGCGAGATAAATGATTATTCTCATCCTGCAACGCTATAACTTTATTTGCCAATTCTTGGTAACTCTCTGTCATCGATACATGTTTTTCCGACGCGTTCAACGTCGCAGCATCGTCAGTTAAATGTGACTTGTTATTATTTAAGTTCCTGTTACGCGAACTATCTAAATTGTCCGAAGTGACCAGTAAGTTACCAGAAAATTGTGTGCTCTCGTCGGCCAGCATCATCACTTTCATTTTTAATGCCATGTTTTCGCTTCGCAAAACATTGTTTTCTGATCTTAATTGTTCCACGTCATTCTCATCGGCGTTGGTAGTATCCAGCATGGAAATCTTATCACTTAAGATCTTATTTTCTTCCTTCAGAGCGTTATTCTCCTCAGTCTTAGCAATTAATTCCATGGAGAGCTTCTCATTTTTCGTTGCCAAATATTCACACTTTTCTGTCAATTTTAAGACTTTGTTCTCGGAAGTACACTCGAGCTCGTACTGTAACGATTTACTTTCTTTAATGTCTTCAAATCCCTTATTCTCCGCTAGACATTTCGACAGTTCAGTATTTTCTTTTTTTAGCGCAGCAATTTCGCCTTGATATTGCGTAATTAATTGTTCGTTGCTGAATATCTCTGTTTTAGGATTTAATGCCATTTGATCGTTCAGTGTCGTTACTTTGTTTTCCAACTGCAGTTTCTCATCTATGATTTTCAGGATACAGGTCTGGAGGTCGTCGATCGTTTTCCGGTGATTATTTTCAGTTTCCGTCGAACGTTCTTTCTCTACAGATAAGTTATGCAACAATGCCGCGTTCTCATTTGTCAATAAACAAATAGTTTGCTCCAAGTCCGATTTGAGGCTTTGGAAGTCGTTCTTTATTTCATTCAATTCTTTGTTCTTTAATTTCAATTCATCGATGAGTCTAATCTTTTCTTCTTCTAACCAAATTAGCGAATTATTTTTTAAACTTGAACAAATAATCTGTGGTGCATTTAGTTCTTCCGGGTAAACAGAATAATAATGGTTTTTTCTGTTTTCTTCCTTGCGTGCCGTCAATTGGCTCTCTAAATCCGTGAATTCAAGGAGTTCAGCAAAAGCCTTTCCACGGTCCAAAATATATTTTTTCCACATACTTTTTGGAGATAATGAATTGCTGCAAAATGTATTTTGTTTTTTATCAACATGAAGAATTTAAGTAAATTTAAAAAAGAAATAATATATACTTCGATGTTTGTACTGCTGAATCTTGCTTATTTAGTCTCACATCATATTCATTTATTTTGATGCATTCGTTTTTAATATCAGGGCCTCGGTTAGTTACATTATTTGTCGGAATTAAATCTAATCGAAAATCTGTAAAAGTCGCGTGGAATGCTGAAAACAGAAATGATATTATACTCCTATGGTAGACGATCTTCCCGACGAAGAAAGTAGAATACAAATGTACTTCGATTTGTGACATCGATCAATTGCGTAATGTTTCTCTTTTTAAATGTTTTCTCGGGTGACATTTCTATTATAGTTGGTAAACGTTGGTAAGTTTCGATTTGAAATGAATGCTGTCTAGATGGTCCAGCAGCTTTAAGCCAATTTTCTCTTCTAGCTTTAGACACGATCGGCTCTTCGTAAACAGTTTTACGTCCAGGAACAATTTGCCTTTCGAACAGTACTACACGTTTGTCTACCGCGCAAAGATTTTCATATCTTTTTTCCGATTCTACATCGCCGATATCGACTAAGTTTCCGTTTCGTATTTTCTGATAAAGTAATCCCAATGTAACAGTCGTACTTAACACTTTCTCAAGTGAAACGGATTCTACAAACCTTTGATTCTGTTAGGAGTTTGGTTGAGAGAGGTGCAAAAATTTCTATAGCTGAATTACCAGAATTAACATTTTTCTGTGGATTGGTTTTCAAGCTCTTAATCCGAGATGCGAGCCTAAACAGAAAACAGGAAACACGTTTCGATGTTTGTCAATAATCATGTTTTAACAAGCGTACTAACGATAAAGTGTGATGAGATTCCTCCGCAGCGCAAGGCATTACTGTACACAACATTACTACGACACCAAAAGGAGTCTGCAGCAAATCCATTAACTTGTTATTACAATTACTGATACATCGCTGGAAAGATTCTACCTTGGGTTCTTCTAAAATTAACGATTCTAAAGCTAAGAGAAATTCGTCCGTTTGATGTTTAGAAGCATTTGCAGGTGGAACTTCTTTAAAGCCAGCAAGGTGTACGAAATTTAATTCTGATTTTTGTACAAATCTATTGAGATCTTCTCTTTCAATTACCTAAAAAGCGTAGGGATTTACTTTATTGAAATTTATAATATTCTAAATATAGAGTGCCAACTATGTAATCTTACAATTTGAAACACAGTGTGGCTAACATTTTCACGATTTGTTTCTCGTATTCTCTTATCATCAATTCTCATTTGTATCACAGATAATATGTGGGCTAAAGGATTTATAATATCTTTCACACTATTAACAATTACTTCTCCATTAGATAGCTTTACTTCAATTTCCTCCTTGCCTAACAAATCACATATCTCATCTTGCACTTCTGAGCATGACATTCTAAACAACAAAGTCTTTAAGATTCATATGATCTCTATGGTCTTCTTAATTTTCAATACAAACCTTAAGACAAATTCATGTTCTGTATTGGGAGTTGAAACAACATTAAGTATGTGTTTTATACTAAGTGGTACTAGTCCAAGATCTTCTGAAGTACCAGCCATTGTGTATGTTTTGCCAGAGTTACATTGTCCATAACAAAACACTGTACCATTGAAGCCAGTTATAGCAGCATCAACAACAGGTTTCACTACACTGTCAAATACTTCAGAATTTGTTGTATCAAGGTCGAAAACGTAATCTGTGAATATGATTCAGTAACATTGAACAGAATGCTTGAAGAAATATTGTATGATGAGTCAGGAATTATGTAAGCTTGACTTAATCAATGTTTCTCAAAAAGATATGTATGCATTTATAGTAAAATTGTATCTATGGAAGATATAAAAATATATAACATATTAAAGAATGAGGACATATAGCAATGTTTAAATGATAAAAGAAACATCTATCTAACTAATAGGATAAATGTTTTATATTGCGTTTCTGCAATCTAATCGTATGATAAGAACAATAAGTACAGGTTAATTTATTAAAATCTTTCGCGGACGAAGGTTTAAAGAATGATGAATGCCTACCGAAATGAAATTCGTCGCCCTTTTGTTTTGTCTTTTGATCTAAAGAAACAATCGAGTTTCCTCTTACGATCCATCGTATCGATGAATTCTCTTTGATTTCTTTTTCTGTCAACGGTCTCAATTTGATTCCCACTTGGACGTCGCTTGGCATTTTCCTCACGGGCGACCATGCGCGAAAACTTTTCGTATGCTGCTACTTCGTTTCTAACTAATATTCTACGCCTATCTACGTCTCTCACGGCTTGAGATCATTACACATGCCGTCTTGTAAACACTCGCGAAACGCAACTGCCATTTAAAATGACGGCTGCATAAACATATTTAAATTCGAATTTTCTACGGTTCGATTGGCCAAATCGAACCAAGAGTTGAAAAGAGTGAAGGTATCAATTCCGGTTCTTGAACTAATTATTGAGAACCCAAAAAAATGCTATAACTGTTATTGGATATGTTGTTCCTGACTTGTGTACATTACTTCTATAAATATTATTTTTCGGTTCTGCACTCTACTTCGATTCTACGTTTAATTAGTATATAATCACCTTTTTAAGACTATTTGAACTGAAAGTCGAAATATAAAACCAAAAAATAACAATGTTAGAGAACTGAGACCGAAATTGATATCAGCAGATAACGTACAATTTGAAAGTTATTTTCTGAACCTTTTCAATCTCTGATTTGATCATGCAGCACGACAATCAAGAACGTGCTAGGAGTATTAATTATTCGTCAACAGACGCGTAAATTTTACGCATATATTCATATCAGAGAGGAAATATTCATTTCCTGTGCGTAAAATTTCCATATATTCATATCAGAGAGGAAATGAGTATTTCCCGTAAAAACGTAATGAGACCATTTGAACTATTATAATTCTTTATTAAAAATCGTTTCCTCTCTGATATGAAAGATTTTCTCTATGTTCACATATATAATGTACGTATTTAATAAAACTCTACATCTATTACTACTGTTTTTTATTTACTACAATTTTTAATATGGAACTATCCCACTTTACCCAAATTTCAATAGTTATCATTTTGTTAATTAATTTGTTTTATTTCATTGTTACACACAATGAACTCCTTTGGCATATTTTCAGGAACACTGTTCATGTCAACATGAAAAGGACATGCAAATATTTCAAACACTATCATATTTTGCTAATTCTGAGAAACGACTATCAAATACTATTATTAGTTTCCTTATTTCATTAGCATATTTCGAGAAATTCTCACGTTGGCTGAGCATTATTATTTCTAAGTCGGCACTTGAATAACAATAATTTCTTATTAAAAGCTTTAATGAAAGAACAAGCATCGATTATTAAATTATCTTGCCCTTGCAAGCCCTTAATCTGTTATCCGCTACTACTGAAGGGCATTTGAATCATGATGTAAAAACATAAGGTGTGTTCTTGCGCATCCATTTGAACATCCATCTGTACACGGACACTTCCACTCGTTGGCCATTTTGGATTTCTAACCAATCACACTTCATATTAAAACTGAGCGAATTTTAAAATCGTAAACATGTCAAAAATTAGGTTCTCGGAAAGTAATATATGTGTATGCGTGTTTGAAATAAACAATAGATCATCGTACTTCCAATATGGCCGATGAGTGGAAGGCGCAAACAGCGACCCATTTGAACACGCCGGAAGAACACACCTTATGTTTTTACATCATGATTTGTATGCTGTATACTGTGTCTGTGTGTGCGTCCGTGCGCCTTAGCAAGGGCATTCCGCCCGAAGCGCCTAGGTGAGAACGGCGTGACATAGGCGTAGGAAGAAGCTAGTATCCACTAATAAAGATAGGTCTAATCATCACTTAATTCGGAAAAAGATTCTTGCTTCTTTCAAATTTTCAATTATTTAATATTTCTTGTATACATACAACGAGAAACAAAAGTTTCAATAGAAATATAGAATAACCCGGCGGGTTGCGTGTTGCCAGGTCTGGGTTATTTGTAATAGCTCTCATTTGTTTAAATCGAGGCTGTTGTGATTCCAACGTGAAACGTGTATCAGTATGCATTGTCGTCCATTGGTATCACAAATTTATTAATATTAAACGAACAAATTTATTTTTCATCAACAACAAAAAGAGTGAGTCTAATGCAACCATAGAATGGTTAAGGGAAATAATTATTATAATTTAAGGGAATTAATTCCCAGGGAAAAGTAGTGTAAGAGACACAAAAAGAATATAACAAATATACTGAAACTAGATGACTTTGAAGTGATAAACAATTTGTTTTTAAGTCGTCAAAAATCCTCCTCACAATAATCATCATTTTTATAAAAACGAACCTATTTCCAAAATTTCAGACAATTCGGAGCATGGGAGTTTTCGGAAGGTTAACCCATTTTTTGGCACTATAATTAATTCTTATCTATAATCTCAGAAAATAAAATTAATAATAATGACGTCCTGCAATAAAAAAATAATATTACAAGCAGAAAGCTCTCTGTTACAAGTACATATTAAATTATTCCTGATGAGCCTGAAGCAGTGTTGATCTATTTGCTAATATAATTAATTCGGGTAATCTGGCAAGTTACTGATCTTTTCCGGAGCCGACCACGTGTTCGTGCACATATATAGATTATATAACAATTTAACAGATGTATAGAGAAGTTTTGCTCGAAAAGAGAATCGAGAGTGAATCGATAAGCACGTGGTGGGGCTGGTAAATGTGGTAGAGGGCAAACGGGAATATTCGAGAAAGGAAAGGAGAACACTGCCGAGGCGGCTGAGTACAACGTGCACGAGTATAGTCGTTGGGCCAAGCTTTTATTACTTAAAAAGCACGTGTTATAACAATGGTAAGAGCACAATAATTATAATTCTTCCATCAAAGTCTTGAATACAACGCAGCAAGTGAAGTATGAATTACTGTTTTTCGAATATTCCGAGACATAGCCTCTAAAATGCCGACTGATAAAACCGATTATTTTTTCGTTAAGTAGTTCTTTATTTTTAAAGATATAATTAACTCATCCAAAGAAGTCGACAACGTATGCGTATCGTTCGTTGTTCTTTTCTTTAGAGTAGTAAATTCAGCGATGTCTCGCGTTTTAAGTTTCGTCGCATGGTCGGCGTTGAATGTTCTTGGTTACGAGTAAAAAGACAAATGAATAAAACAAAATGTTAAGAAATCAATCGTAGTGATCTTGTGAAATCGTTTACACTTATTGACTCGTCCAACTGCGAGACTGTAATCGACATTGATTAAAATTCTCATCTTACGAAAGGTCCCGTGAAATTACGACATGGAGAAGTTTAAAGTAATTCATTTTAGTTTAAGTAAGTCAACTCGTTTTTTTCACGTTCCGTCTTAATATGTCTAGGCTGCAGCCAATGCTATTAAGAGGTTGGTGCCTCTCTTCGATAGAGTTCTTGTACAGAGAGCAGAAGCTATAACGAAAACGAAAGGTGGTATCGTTTTACCCGAGAAAGCCCAAGCTAAAGTTTTGCAAGGAACCGTCGTGGCGATAGGGCCTGGACAAAGGAACGATGTAAGAAAATAAAGTTCTGTATGCTATAATCTAAAGAAACTATAATAATAATTTCTTTTCAGAAAGGAGAACATGTTCCTTTAAGTATCAAAGTCGGCGACGTTGTCCTACTGCCAGAGTATGGTGGCACCAAGGTAGAACTCGAGGATAATAAAGAATTTCACTTATTCCGCGAGTCGGATATACTGGCAAAGTTAGAAGTTTAAATTTCTATTTGGCTTATGTTTGCAATTTTTTTTAACTATCGTTTCATAAGAACTATAGAAATAAGAGATAGTGAGATGCGAAAGATCTCGAAAAAATGTTTCTTGTTCATTATGACATAATAATTGTATTATTCCTTATTGCATCGTTTCGTATATAAAAAAGCCAAAAATAAAACATTCGTTGTGTTTATATAATTATTTGTTTAAATATTGTTCCTTGTTTGCAATCTCTTATCATGATAATTTTTACATAAAAATATACAATAGAGACGTTAATGTAATAGAGTAAGTTTACATTCATATTTTATACATGAGAAGGAAAGTGTATCTTAACAGAAAATAAATTCTACAAATTTATCAAGCAGAATATCATTTTTGTACAAGCGTGCTTGCAGCTTTATTTCAATTTGATACTTTTCTTTACACCAGCTTTAATACCAGATATCTCTCCAGCATAACGAGTAATTTCCTTCCTTACTTCTCTCACCTGTAAAACAAACAAAATTATTATCTACGAAGAAACTTGTATTAAATATGTAACATGCAAAAAAATATATCATCACGACATTTGTGTTGAAAATTGTCCAAATCTGGAAGATGATTACTCAGCAACAAATTATCTTCAAATGATGATTTTTCTTTTAAATTAACGCTTGGAACCTCTACTTCGAAATAATATGCAGAAATTTTCAATTTGATACACCTCTATGATAGACAACACCAAAATCCAAGAGCATGTTAGAAAATTTAAAAATTATTAATGTTTGACAACGTGCACTGGCTTGGATAATTATTTATCAGTGATCTTTTTTACGGCAAGCGATTCTTCGCCTATAATTTAAAATAAAATTGAGTTCCTTCGATTTCTTCTCTCGATTTTATAGCAGTTTGAAGAAATCTCTAACATCATTCACGCATTACAAAAATCCTGAACGCAATTCCACTTCAAACACGATTATATCCACTACACAATCTCTCACTCTACCATACAATTGTGTCCTTATATACGAAATATTAAACAATCCAACAGCAGCCAAAGACCAACGAAAATTAATGATATCTCTGAATACCATTTTAAAATAAAACTTTCAAGCTTAAATTTCAAAGAAGAATTATAAGAAGCCCTACGATAATTTCTTGCTGAGTAATCATCTTTTAAACTTGAACAATTTTCGACCCAAATTTCGCAATGGTATAATTTTTTTGAAAAATGCATAAATACGTACCGCTCCCTTTCTACGAATATTAGCTTTACGATATTTATTTCTATGTTTCACTCTAGGATTGCGTTGTTCCTTTTTGCGATGCGGTGTCAATCCTTTATTTTTCGCTATTTGATACGTGATTGCTCTTTTTTCTTCTGCGTTAATCGCAGGATTCTCATCTTCGATCTTTTCATCTTTCTTCTCTAATTCTATTTTCTCGTCCATTTCGCTTTCTCCTATAAATTCAGACTCAGACTCCGTCGAATCTATATCCATCATCTCGCTCGTCTTTTTAACTACTTTCGATCGACTTGTCTTACGTTTAGGTACGCTTACTCTAGTACCATTCCATATATTATACAAAGGCTCTCCCTGTTTTTCAGCTTCTAATATTTCTCGTATCTCTTGTATCAAATTCCCTTGCCCAGATTCCAGTTGGTTCAACAATTGACGATATTGAGCCAAACGTTTTATAACCGGGTGAGAATTAACAGGTGACCTTTTTGCCTTCAGCATTAAGTAAAAAGAAATGTTGATGCAGTAATTTAATAAAAGATGGTATTTCGTCTTTGCGAAAGAAACTGCAGGGCAATTAGGAATCACGTTCTTTTTAACTAACTTCAGGAATGGTGCCATTAAATCTCTTGCTTCTATCATGCGATCTAAATCATATAACATGCATTAGTACTAGACATAAGTATATAAG